TCGTCTTCTGGTGGAACCGACCTTCGAATCTCTTCACCCAACACTTCCACTCGAAATGGAAGTAAGCTCAGTAAAAATGGACCCACTTTGCCCTATTACGGCTGGTGTGAGGAGGTAAATTGCGGGAAATGGGTGTCTTGGTAGAATTGGTATCGGATATTGTAACAACAAAAGTACAATTTGCCACCAAAATATCCGCCACGTAATACAGGCAAGACTCAAGCCCCCATAGTTGTCATCGTCTGCCATCCGGCCTTGGCCACTGGATGAGAGTTCTCTGAACTGGGAGTTCAACAACTATCAACTAGACCAATTATGAACAAATGCTGGATTTCGGAGAATCTCTGGATAGATTGACGCCGGTATACCTTGCACTTCGTTTGAAGAGTTGAATGGAACCGAATCCTAAGTTGGTCTCATCGGAAAGTACATTGGAACTGTGAATATAGTTTTATGCGAATACGTTCTGGGATCACCATTCCTCAACCCCAATGAATCTTTGCTGAGCTTCCGTCCATCATATGAGGGACATTGTTCAATTGGGACATCATATTTTAAGATAATTCTCCGTTCTTGCGGTAAAAAGCAAAAAATTCGACTATTAACAAAAGAAAACCAAATAATTAACATATTAACGGAATTATTAAACTGATTTAATTAGAAAATTATTTTTATCCTATTTTAATTACTCAATTAATAGGTGAAAGTAATGGATTTATTATTAATTAAAATTTATGAATACGATCTTATAGTATATTACTCAGAACTAATTAGGTAATAAATTAATGAATTGTTGGGCTTCTATCACCTCGAAAGCTATGTTTATTTACCGCGGGGGTTATATTCTTTCCTCCAAAACCCACGTAACAGGTGAGATTCCGATTTGAGAGGCTGGTGAGAGATGTTACAGGGAAAATGAAAGCAAGTATAATGCTGTGAAGACGTTCAATCAATTTCAATCTCACCAAAAGGCGTCGGCTGATTCGCGTTGTACTGCAGCCGTTCAGGTTAGTGCAGTCCTCTAAATATCCTCCAACGTGTTGGGCGAAGACAGGCTAAGCTTTCGTTGGTCATTTGATAAACTTTGTCAGAGCTGGGACTCATTCTTGCAAATGCCTCAAGACACCATTGAGTCAAGAAGGCTGACCGCCTTTTTTCTATATTATGTTTATATTCATTTCGAGCAAAATTTTAAATAGAAATTGAGAATGAAAGGTTTGGTTATTTCACTTATACTCGAGTGTATCTGTGTGTATAGGTGTGCTATCATCTGTGCACACAGACACACTCGAGTACAAGGGAATTAGTAAAACTTTTATATATCCATCTTTATCTTAAATTTTTCTTCAAAACTTTTCACAACGAGCTTATATCAGGAGTTTATTCGGAATCTGCATTTTTATCGCATATACAAGTATCATGTTTTTGCTTAAATTCAACGTAGACAGATTCGTTAACAGCGTAGTTCATAAACAAATTGAAGTTGGTACATCTCCACAAAATTCAGTCTCTTGTTTGCGGTTGTAGTACAATTTATGAGATAAATTTATTCTATTATTTATTAAAATGATGAAGGACCGGTAATTGAATTTTCCCAAAAGCTATTCCTATCTAGAGTTAACTGCAGTTTCGAACCCTCCTAGGTCCCCTTAGCACCTCAAATATATACTGTTACATATAGTTAGATACGAAATGATTGGCATAGCTCATTTTCTCTTCATTCTATGTATTTTTATCAGGCAATTTTACACCAAGTGAATTTCATCATAACAATGTTGTCTAGAATGCCCCGTCAAATTCATTTCATGCATGGAAATGAGCCCTTTACACAGTCTGATGCAAGCGTTTTAGTCCCCCTAGGTTGCATAAGGTGATAAAGGACTGATATTTGCATTTTTCCACAATGCTATGAGGAGCCATCAGGTTTGCATTGAATTTCACTTAGTCATACTTTCCAGAAGATTTTTAGCATCCAAAGGTAGATTCAAAGCCTGCTTAACATGAATATAAGTAATATATTTTTCGAATTAAGTATTGTTTTCGTGACTACGAGTAACGAAGTAATATGAGATGTATTCACCCAATTTCGTTTAAGGACTGGTAGGAGAAGAATTTTCCCACAATGATATGAGTTGAGCTGACGTTTCCATTGAAGCAAGACTATGTGAAATTCAATGGAAGCGTCAGCTCAACTGGTATCATTGTGGGAAAATTCTTCTTCTAACAGTCCTTCATCACCTTAAACGAAATTGGGTGAATACATCTCATATATGTAATATAGTCGATTGTAATATAAAATAAATGTTTGTTCCACCTGCAAAAATGTGATATGAAAGAGGCTTGACCCTCTTGAAGGCCACCTTCGTCCTGGGACTTACGTTCACTCGTGGCGATGTGGCGTGATGGTAACATACCCAAAGTGTACGCTCGACTGTCCAAGTTCGAGTTCCGCTGACAATTATGTGACCAGTTTAGGCCAGTTAGAAACCTCTGTTCAATCAAGCCGGGATGATAATACCTTTTAGGCAGCAAGACCAAGGGAATTTCTATGATAACGTGAGACCTATTCATATGATTATGAAAAAGTTAGACCATCAGTCTTTTGTCACCTTATGCAACCTGGGGTGACTGGAACTCATATTAAAAAATAAACAACTTCCTAAAGGAAACTGATCCATCTTAGTTTTTTTAAGATTAGGTTTTCGAGACTACCCTCATCGTGTCAAGTCTACTATCCTTTCCAGCCAAGCTTCTCAGATAAAGTTGGTTCCACTTCCATTCGCAACTTGGTCGGAGCATCAGAGAGAACTTGTGGAATGATGACGCCTCTCACTGACGATGCCGGAGAAATGTTTAGGAGCGTACCAAGTCAGTGGTCCAATGCTGTAAATCACGAATACTATGGCAGAGGATACAGAACTAGATACGTTCCACAAGGCATCCTTAATTCTCCGACTAAGTTGAGAAAAAAAGTTCGAACCCAAACTATGGAGCTAAAGGAGACTGCGACGAAACAGAAGGCCACATCATCTTGGTTTTCATATCTTCTCAGATAGAGTTGAAGTGTTCAAAGACACGAACACTCTCATGGATATGTGAAGAGAAATCGGGTTTTAAAGGATCCCTTCATAAATTCTTGTTGCCTTACCTTTCAGTTAATTCGAGCGGTTAATTTGGATGGAAATTTTTGTAAATAAGCTCCACTAGATTAATCGAAAGTATGAAGACCAAGTTCCACTAGAGTAAGGTATTTTTATCCGACAACCGAAAGATGAGAACAAATTGATCGATTTGTCGAGGACTTCTTTTCCACGACATTCAATAGTTTCAACTCCAAGACAATCGTCCTTCGAGTTCTGATGCGGACAAATGATGAATCCTTCTGGTACGAGTTTTCAAATTAGCTGAAGAGTAAAACAAAATAATCTGAGGAAATCTCAGCCCTAGTTGTTTGATTGGCATATATCGTCACCATGTTCTCTTACTATATCGGTTAAGCTATTTGTGCAGTGTCCTGACAGAGTATTTAGAATAAAAAGTGTATATATATATTTAGGTCCGGCGAAAATTTTGCTTAAATTTAGTTAGTATGACCTTTACATGGAGACTTTGTGGAACATGCCCGGTCCTGCGTCTTCTGACAAAAAGAGTCGTTATATTTCTCGGCGTCTAACCGTGGACTTGGCATACTCCCAGGCGTTTCGCCGACATCGTTGGTGAAGTGGTACGTCCTCGCTGTGGCCAGGCGACAAGCATTTTCTGCCAGGCGTCTGGAGGTCTGAAGTGGTGTCCACTTGTAGACGGGCTGGGGTGATTGCGTAAGTGCTGTTCGGTCAGTTGACAGTCTTTTAATTGCTTTGCTGGTGTAAGAAGAGTCTCTCGCTGCCGGGCCACGAGACGCCTCGAGCACCAGATGCGGCTTTTCCCACGTCCACTGGACAGAGGCCGTGGTACAGGTGAATCGTGTTGCGCAAGTCGCTAATGCACTGCTCACCTGAAAGCCGCCAGCCCACCTGACGATGCTGTGATCATCACTCGACTGGGGCAGGACGCATCCCCAGCCCACTCCCCCCCTCGCTGTTGCCCACTCTCAGTTCCCAACTTACCACTCCGCTTCCCAGAAGGCCTCAAAATCGACGAATCTGCAGCTCAGACCAACTTGTGCTTCGCCGAGGCTGTCGGATGGCAGAAATACAGACAGACATGCAGTCATACATAAAGACATACAGGTTGGCATATATATACGGACATACAAACTGACATATAAACAGACCCACAGGCATTCAGTTAGACATACAGGCATATATATTTTCCAGTTATATGCGATGTAATATCAACACATCAAGCAGGCCAAACCCAACTTATGAACGAAAACACATATTTTTCGTTTATAAAGACTACGAATATGATAAGTATTCATCCTATTTCGTTTAGGGTGATATAGGAATTAGTAGTTTAATTTTCCCACAATGGTGTGAGTACACCTTAAGTCTTGCTTTCCTTTATGCAGGAGGGGACTGCGATTTCGACCTCGCCTAAATCTTATCCACACACCAAGCCGGAGTCGAACCATGACAGT